CCGCGTTGGGCGCCGGCGTCATGACGCACGGGCGGGCGGGGCGCGGCCGCGGGACCGTTACGCTGCGCCCTCGGGCTTGGGCTCCGCTCCCCGCAGCCAGCGCGCGGAGAGCTACGGGCGAAGGCGCCCGGCGCTGGGCGGCGGCTTTGAGGTGGGGTTGCGGGGCCTGCGGGCTCGCGCTCGAAGTTTCTTCGCGCTTCCCGGAGAGGATGAGGAAAGTGGGGTGGAGCGGGGTTAGCCCCCGAGACTCGGTGGGTCGGGGCAAGGAGGGACCTCTGGGAACCGCTGTTTCCTTGCTCCAAGAGCCAGAGGAGCGCGTGAGGCCGAAATGCTGCACCCCAGCCCTGGAAGAAGGGACCTGGCGCGCTGCCGGCTGCCTGCCAAAGAACTCCTCGGATGATCTCCATCATTTTATTCGGCCTTTACCTCTCAGGCCTTTGAGACCCTGGATTGGGCCTGACCACGCTGCGGGTCATTTAGAAGGGCGTCCCACCCCCACTCCCAACACACACTGCCCTCCAGTCCTGTCCTCAGGGAGAGGGCTTGATTTGGCTCTTAAGAGAATCATGCCCCAAACTGCGTCATCTATTTTGAGTCCACCTCTTTATTCCTTGCTCTTTTTCTTTTCCCATTGGTCTAGCACGGAAATCTTTAGCCATTGTTGTTTTATGGCCTTTCTTATGCTGGACATTTGGCCCACATCAGGAAACTGTCCTTCCAAATATGTCTGAAAACTTGCTGTCCTTTTAACCTTCCTTACTCAAGAGTCAGCCACAGGAGGAGGATGTGATATGTTGATATTATTACTACACTCAAGTATAGTGGGTACCTACTATATCCTTGGTAGGGACTGGGTTCTGTCCGGGAGAAAGGAGACAGAGCCTTGCCCCTTACTATGTGTGTGGGCGCGGGGGGAGGAGGATAACAGCGTGTGGCGACCTTCATTTGGGCTGCTTCTTTTGAGTGTTCTTTAATGGTACCATTGCCCAGAACCCTCTTGTTCTTTCTAGCTTACTTCATACTATTGTCAAAAGTGAAATATGTTCCTTGCCACCAATCACCAAACACTTTTAGTGAAATTTTAAAAACCCTAAATTTGCAGTGATGATAATTTGTAGTGACAAGATATGGGCTTGACCTCAGCTCTTTGACTTAGTTGATAAAGTAACTTGACCTCTGTGAGCCTCAGAATCTTGTTAATAGGTGTAATCTGACACAGATGTCACTTATAGTATGTTTGCTAGAATCAAAAGCACCAATAGATAATGGCTGTGAAAGCCATTTGTGAGACATAATGAGATAAAATGTAGCGTGTTTGCTGATAACCCATAAACCCTTCCAGGACCTCAGAAAAGTGCTTGACTAAACATACCTGCATGCTGTGTTCACAGGTGGTATTTTAAAAGTGTTTAAAACCAGCCTTGGTGTCTTTTCCTATTCCACAAGTTGCTTCATTTCTAGTACAGTATACCTCCAACAAATTGTTCTGGCTGGAGAGGTTAGTGCATTAGGAAGCAACTGATGTCAACAAGTTCTACCTTGATCTTTGAGTACCAAACAAAGGATGAGTTTTGGGACAAAATTTTCCCATCAAAACTTGTTGTTGAGTATTAAATCCAACCAGCTTTAAAGTAGTTGGTTACCAAAGTGTGACCATGTTATACTGGAAGTGGCGTCTGTATCTTTCAATTAAACTAGAGTTCTTTTATTTAACAGATTTTTATTGACTCAGGTTTTAAAGTTTAGCATTGATTGTTTCTCTTCCCCACTGTTCCCAAACCCTTAGATCCTACTCTTGAAAACAGCTCCAGTATTCTCTCTTCCTGATCCTCCTTGTTGAAATTAATCTTTCCACTTCAGTGCCTCTGTAGCACCTTGTTTCATGATAGCTATATTGTACTTAATTGTCTCTTAATAAATCAAGACAGTGGGCTTTGCTGCAAATGCTGAGAAACCAGATATAGTGATGATAGTGCTGAGTGAGCCTACAGGAAGAGGAAATGGATACCTGTGAGCACTGTCAGGCAGGATTTCACATAGGCGAGAGGCCAATGTCATCCCTGTGAGGAGCAGGCCAGGTCACAGCAGGGAAATGAAATTCCAGGTGGCAAGGATGAGAGTCGAAGCTTTTAAGAGACAGAATTGGGGTGAGCTGACTTGCTTGAGTAACATTTAACATAGTGCTATTCACACACACAAAAAAAAATTAAATGATTTTACCAGTATCTATTTGAATTATCTTCACATTCAGTGGAGAGTGTCTGTGGTGCATGATTTATAGAAACACAAGAAATCCAGTTCTCATTAGTTATAAAGAAATGTAACTTCCTGACTTGGCAGACAAGAAACTCTTTGTTCCTTTTTTTTAGAGCTGGAAATGGAACCCAAGGCCTGTTGCATGGTAAGCAGGTCCTCCACCATTGAGCTGCACTCCCAGCCCAAGAAACTTTTTGGAGGAAGGATCCATAGGGTGACTTGCTTCTAGAGCTTCCCCATGAACTTTTCTCCCTTTCCCATTGTACTTAAAGTTCTGGTGACTCAATGAAAAGAAAAAATTTTATCTTTTACAACAAATTTACAGATAACTATCACCCCACCCAGGAAATGTTTGTATAAAGCAGCACTTATAAATATTTCTTTGGAAAACTAGGCTAAGTTAAACATAATATACACATTAGAAGGCTGAGTATTATGTAGATTTAGTGAGCTAATGACTTCATCGCTATTTTTCTTTGGAGTTTATGTGGCAAAGGAACAATGCATACATTTGTCTCACTTGTCTTGGCTCAGCACCTAATTCAGTTTGCTTGTGTTGTCAAGGACTGGGGAGCCCAAGCCACCAGTGTCCCCCAAAGGACCTGAAGAGTGATACTGACTGGAGAAGAACAAGGGAGCAGGACCTCAAGAAGGGCAGGTTTGTGTTGGGCTGCGCTTTCTTTCACTGCCCCCCAGGAGCCATACCCTTTCACATTTGACCACTTTGGCTGTAGTTCCTCCAGATGCCAAAACCATGTCAGCTCCAGAAATGCTGCACTAGTAAAGTTCACTAAGAAGAAAGAAGAAAACATTGGGAAGGTTGAAAGGCTCCAAGTACTTAGTTATTCATGCTTCTCATTCGTATTGTTTCTGTTTTCTCTTGCTATAAGCAATGTGTTTACTATCAAAAGTCACTATGAAGTTCCAGCACCAAAAGGAGAGCAACAGTCTGCTGAAAGTGTTATGATTAAGGCATGCAACCAGAAATGAAAGCTAAAATACAATGCTTTAGTGGTTTTCTTATTATCATATTACCCTTTTCATTAAAAAAAGTTTCTTCTATTGAATAATTCCAATTAGGAGTCGACACTGAGAAAATTCAGTAACTGCCTTGATTTAGTATTATTGGGAAGCTTTTGTGTCTTTTCATTGCTTTATGTAGAAATTAGAGCAAGATATGGAATGATTTCACTCAGTTTCTGTGGTGTCTTGCCATTCAAAATTATTATGTAAGACTGTTATTAAAGTACTCATACTGCCAAACTTACCCAAAAGGCAGTAAGTGGCATCCAAACACAGGAAGTAGTTTCCAAAATTTCAATTGTGTCGTGTATTATTTTTGTGGAGATGTGATCAATACAGCATAGCTCTCTACCTAGGAGTTCCCAGTGTTTAGCTGCACAATCCAAACTCCTCCTGGGGGTTTGGCTATAACTGTTTGGGTTTTCCACTCAGATTTAAATTTTGATGCCCTCCTGTAGCTAGCAAGGACTTCTTGGATGGAGACGGCAATTCCATGAATGTACCAGTTAGCACTTAAATGGTTGATCTGATGTGGGGAAACTGAACTGGGAGAAGATGAGCACAAAGGAGATGATGCATGGGCTAATCATTTTCTGAACCGTCTCCTCTTGCCTAAGAACAGCTGGAGGATTTAAGCTACTTTCATTGGAAGACAAGAAGCTGTGTGGGAAAGAGGAATCAGTCTACAGGGCATTATATCTTTTATCACATACACCTGTAAAGTAGAAACAGAAATTTCCAACATTATGTGAATTATAGTAGATCCATATGGAAAAATCTTATGTATCAACAAAATTGCTGTTTTTAAGCTAGAAGCTGGGTGTAGTGGCACACATCTGTAATCCAGTACTCAGGAGGCTAACCCAGGAGGATCTCTTCGAGTTCAAGGCCAGCCTGAACTACTTGGCAAGTTCAAGCCCAATCTGAACAACATAGTAAGCTCTGTCTCAAAATAAACAAACAAAAAAAAAATCCAACTCAGGCTGGGGGTATAGCTCATAGGTAAGGTGCATTCTTAGCATGAGAGAGGTCATAGGTTCAATCTCCAGCACCAAAAAATAAACAACTAAACAACATTTTTACAGAAAGTATACTAATGTAGTTGTTAAGCATTAATAGCCATTAATATTAATATAAGTATGTCACGTCTTGTGTCTAGATGCCCCCCAAAGCTCCTGTGGTCATAGGTCGAGCTTTTTCAGAGGTAACTGGATCTATAGTGTGTGACTCTGGAATTGATTCATGGTGCAATGCTAGGCTCAAGGGCACTAAGCTTAAGGCTGTGAGTGCTGCCCACCCTCAGTAGAATGGATAAGAGAGAAGGGATAGAAAGAGCTGAGGTCTTCCCTTGTTGCTTGCAACCTTCTGCCCACTTTGAACTGTTGTTCCTCTGCCAAGTGCCCCCCTGCCTTGGTGCCAGCCGATAATGGACTGAAACTTCTACAAACTAAGAAATCTCTAGGAACTGCAAACCAAATAAACTTTTCCTTTTTTAATTCTGGGTGTTGGGTATTTTGACTCAGCAATGAGAAAAGTAACTAAGACACAGTGAAAATAGGATATATTTATGTGTAATATGGTTTGGATATACGTATGTACATATAAAAT